CCCCCCCCCACACTCCTGGCTCGGCCTGCTCGAGAGGAACTCTCTGCACCGGGCGGCAGAGGGGGAGGTGCAGGGGGGGCGTGGCGGGAGGGCAGCCCGGCTGATGTGTGCAGGGGGGGCGTGGTGGGAGGGCAGCCCGGCCTAGAGGGGAACAGATGGAGGACACAGTTTGCATTCCTCTGCAGTCCTGAAAGGGGTTAAACCCGCGTGGAGCCTTTTGCTAGAGAGGCCGCTTCTTTGCCGTGCCACAGGATTGTCCTGTGATCGGCACCTCCCCCCTAACCACGGGACCTCAACGGGACGTCTGATCGCGCATCTGCGCGTTATTTTGCTCCGGGGCAAACAGCCACACTTCCTCCCCGCATTTTCTTGCCCATGTGACCGTGTGACCGGGGCCTTAGAGGGGGTGGAGGTGGCCACCACCACGTTGGTTTTCTTTTCTCCCACCCCCCTTCTTTCCCAGTGTATTTGTAAACTATCTCTCTTCTCCCCAGCACTTGAGCTCCCTCTCAGTGTGGCTCCAACTCCTGCAGCAGCCATTTTGTTGGTTGGCTCCGCCTCATGAGGCAGCCATTTTGCATCCAGCTCCCTGTGTGAGAATTCCAAAGGTGCTCCCAAGCTCAGAAAAGCTTAGCAGCCCTGATCTGGAGGAATGCTGGGGGGGGGACCCCCTATTTCCCCACCTTCCTTGTGGAATGAATGAAATGCAAGAGAAGGTTTTACTCAAACATGCGTAGTATCATGAAAGTGATTATGGAAGACGTTTGAATTTTGTTAAGAGGAGTTTTATACTGCCTCTCCAGGAACTGGCCTGAGGAGGTTTGCAAAATACAAATAATAAAGAGAAAACATTAAAAGATAGTAACTAAAATCTAGCCATCAGAACCCAGTGATAATTCTTACATATACTGTGGACATAAACAACTTGTTCAAGATTCTTTTTTGGTTTAAATGTGGATAGTTTTGGAAACAACGTGCTCTAATGTGTTTAGTCATAGGCCCTGGTCACACGGGCCGGATATCGCGGGAGGGAGGCGTGGCAAAGTGCCCCGGCGCAGTTTGATCCGCGATTATACAATCAGACGCACCGACGGCACACCACAGGTCCTTCCCTCGGCGCCGGCGCGTAAACGAGGGGCCGGAGGGGAAAGCCATGCACCAGCGCGATCACATCGCGGGCATCCAGAGGCAGCCCACGGCAAACCATTTGCCAGTACCTTGGAGGTACTACTTTTTTATCGCGCGCTTTCGGCGGTAAGCCACGGGTTGGCCACGGGTGCGCTCCACTTCCCAGATGTTGGGGTGTGATCGCGCACGGATAATCCGCCCACCACCCGTGGCTCTCCCGCGGCAAATTCGCCGTGTGAACGGGGCCATAATACATTATGCAAGAGCACAGTTTAACTTAATATCCATGTTTTGATTGTGACAGAGCTTGTGTCCAAATAATACGTGTTCGTTTGTTTATTAGAGAATTTGTTTTCTGCTTTCAACCTTTATTTTTCCCCTACCTTTCAGGTGACCAAAATTAAGATACATATGGCATGGGAGCACAGGGTACAGCAGTTTGTGACTCTTTCTCAAGTATTATACATTTGCAGTTTTCTTTATAGTAAGTGGAAGACATTCCATAAAAATGCCGGACAGGACAGTTTTGTATGATGCATGTTATGTGGTTAAATCAGTGAAATAAGCCTAGGTTTGATAGGAAAGTAGACGTTGCATGTATTTCGGTTCCGCAAAAATTTCCATTTCAAAAGGAGGGGGCGGGGATGTTTTTCTGTGGCTTCAAAATTCCTGCAAATATTATGTCTTTTGGCAAATGTTTCCTCAGGGAAGGCGTCCTTGAAGACTGGTCCCATAGAAGCATGAATAAAAGCACTTGGGTGGGACTATCCTGAGAATAAAAAAAAAGATGTTCGGTTGAGGGGGAATACGTTGGCAGTGCTTCCTCTAAGCTGAGTTAGTGTGAGCTAAATCACAGTTTTTTTTAGCCTCCGGCTCACACATTTTTGTCTTCGCTCAGGAAGGGTGGCTCCAGAGCAAACTGATTTATGCCGGCAGCTCACCAAGTAGAATTTCTGCTCACAGGACTCCACAGCTTAGGCAACAGTGTAGAGTGCTACTGCGGGTGGATGTGAGATCTCTTCCCTCTAGAGTGTAGAGCAGCCCTACGTGGTGCCCCTAAATACCCTTCCTTGTGCCCAGCAAATGTTTCTAGAAAGCCAAAAGGGGCTTTTGCCCGGCAGGGCTCCTGAATGGCCATTGGGGTTCTGATTGGCTCTGGAGAATTTTTTTTAAAAAAAACTGTTTCGACAGCCGCTGCCACCACAGCACCAAGGATGTATGACTGTACGACTGAAGATAAGTTGTGTGTATGCAGAAATTAGGCTCATTTTAAAAGGCATCCTGCTAAACAGAGCTTCTACGTGAAGTATTGAAGTATGTGTGATCTCACTCCCTGAGATTTTGTGGTTGGCTCCGCCACTCGTGGCAGCCATTTTGTGGTTGGGTTGTGCCGCTTGGGGCGGCCATTTTGTGGCTGTGGCCACCGTCCAGTGTCAGAATTCCAAAAGTCCCCGCGGGGTCAAAAAGGTTGGGGAGACCCCTCATGAAAGAGTCTTCTCCCTTCAGAAGCTGAACAGGGGAGAGAGGAGGGCAGGATGTTACGGGTCAAGATGTAAAATTTCTGGAAATTTTGAAGCTCGGAAAAAACTGGAAATTTTTGGAAAAATTGAAAAAAAATGCTACATTAGCTCTTCTTTTTTCTTTTCAAGATTGAAAGTCATTCTGTTACTTTAGGAACATAAAATATGACTATGGACATTTTTGTTGTTGTTCAGTCGCACAGTCGAGTCCGACTCTTCGCGACCCCATGGATCATCTCCCGCCAGGCCCTCCTGTCTTCCGCCGTCTTCTGAAGTTGGCTCAATTTCATGTTCGTTGCATCGATGACACCGTCTAACCATCTCATCCTTTGCCGTCCCCGTCTTCTTTGACCTTCAATCTTTCCCAGCATCAGGGTCTTCTCCAGGGAGTGCTCCCTTCTCATTTGGTGGCCAAAGTATTTGAGCTTCAGTTTCATTATCTGGCCTTCCAGGGAACAGTCAGGGTGGATTTCTTTTAGGATTGACTGATTTGATCTTTTTGCAGTCCAAGGGACTCTCAAGAGTCTTCTCCAGCACCATAGTTCAAAAGAATCTATTCTTCGGCGCTCGGCCTTCCTTATAGTCCAACTCTCACAGCCATACATGACTACTGGGAATACCATTGCTTTGACCATGCGGACTTTTGTTGGCAGGGTGATGTCTCTACTTTTTATCATGCTGCTTAGGTTCGCCATCGCTTTCCTCCCAAGGAGCAGGCGTCTTTTAATTTCATGGCTGCAGTCACAGTCTGCGGTGATCTGGGATCCCAGGAACGTGAAGTCTGTCACTACTTCCACGACTTCCCCTTCTATTTGCCAAGGAGTGATGGGGCCGGATGCCATGATCTTAGTTTTTTTGATGTTGAGCTTCAAGCCCACTTTTGCGCTCTCCTCTTTTACTCTGAGCAAGAGGCTCTTTAGATCCTTTTCACTTTCAGCCATTAGAGTGGTATCATCTGCATATCTGAGGTTGTTGATCTTTTCCCCAGCAATCTTAATTCCCGCTTGTGATTCATCCAGGCCAGCATTTCGCATGATGTACTCTGCATATATATTAAATAAGCAAGGTGACAATATACATCCTTGTCGTACTCCTTTCCCTATGCTGAACCAATCAGTTGTTCCATATCCGGTTCTAACTGTCGCTTCTTGGCCCTTATACAGGTTTCTCAAGAGACATGTGAGGTGGTCTGGTACTCCCATCTCTTTAAGGACCTGCCATAGTTTGTTGTGATCCACACAGTCAAAGGCTTTAGCATAGTCAATGAAGCAGAAGTAGATATTTTTCTGGTACTCTCTTGCTTTTTCCATAATCCATGGACATTTTTACTTGGCATGAAATGATCTCAACTAGCATATTAAAAATATAGCGTATCCAACCAGTTATTACAAACAGAATACCCACCCACACGCAAAGACAAAACTGATACCTTTTTATTTTCTTGTGACAATAGCACCTCCTAAATGAAGAAATGCATTTTGTTCTTGCATTGGAGAGTACAGTTTGTAACCTAGGACTTGCTTGTCCTCAGTGCACAGAAATTAGATCAATGTGATACGATACATAGTTTTTAGGAATGATTTGGAAAATATATGAACACCTTGTCCTAAAATATTTTATTCATCATGTTAATAAAATAAAACATTCCATAATCAATTTTTTTCCTTTTCTTTTTTCAATGTTTCCAGTTTTTTTGGGGGGAAACGAAAAAGGCTTCAGGAAAAAAAACGGGGGAAAAACAGGGTTTTTTCCTAATTTTTCCATTTTTTTCCCCGGGCCTTCACATCTCTAGTTATGGGTGGTTTTTTTCTCCGTCCCTCTTCGCCAGTGCTCTCTCTTCCCTGCAGGTGTGGGCCGTTCAGCGGCATGGCTTGCTGCCTCCAGATCCCAAACAGCAGAGCCCTCGGCCTAGGGCCGGAAACCGACCTGCTCTTCTCCCACCTGGACACGATCGCCGGCAACCCCGAAAAGCATCAGCGACCAGCCGGCTTGGCCGTACACCCCGCGTGCGACGCCGGGGTGCCCCAGAACGGCTGCTTCTTCCCGTCCTTAGCCTCGTTCGGCTCCCTGGACGCTCTGAGCCTCATCAGCTTGCACTGCTCGACCCTCGTCGCGAAGCCCGTCGACTTTGCTGAGGCCGCGGAAGGCAAAGGGCTTGCGCAGGAATGGACCCCCGGCGCCCTCTTCCCGGAACCGCCTGGCAGTCCTCCTCCGTCGAATGCCCCCGTGGAGGGGCCTGGGGCGGTGCTTCTTCAGGAGACTGGCCTTCCTGAGCCGCAGGAGGGCGTGGGACGAGCGCCCCGCAAGCAGGGCAGGCCCCGGCGGAGCTGTGAGCCTCTGGACCCAGACTTCCAAGGGGTGGCCTTCCAGATGCAGCTCTGTCTCCATCACAGCGGTCCAGAGGGCTGCCGGCTCCTCATGAGCCACCAATACAGCAGGTACCGAGGCTGGGGATCCAGGTCGGTGTAGTGGTCAAGAGTGGTGGACTCTAATCTGAGAGAACCGGGTCTGATTCCCCACTCCTCCGCATGGAACTGATGGCGTGACCTTGGGTCAGTCACAAGTTCTCTCGGAGCTGTTCTCTCAGGAGCAGTTCTCTCAAGAGCTCTCTCAGCCCCACCTACCTCACAGGGTGTCTGTTGTGGGGAGGGGAAGGGAAAGGAGTTTGTACGCTGCTCTGAGACTCCTTCGGGTAGTGAAGGGCGGGGTATAAATCCAATCTCCTCCTCCTCCTCCTCCTCCTCCTCCTCCTCCTCCGTGCCCCAGCCTTCTGACCCCGTCTTCAAAAAAAGCTGTCTACATTTGGTGTCGTTTTCACACCTCAAGAGTGCCAGCATACTTTTGCACGGCCACATATGTTTATTGCCCTTTTGTGGCGGCTGCACTGTCATTGTGCCTACACAGTGCTTTAAAAGAATCTTCTCCAAACCGACGTTCAAACAAGCACAGAGAAAGACGGCGTCACAGCAGCCCGAAACTGATTTTAAAATGCAAATGCAGATTCGACCTGTGTCTACACAGAGAAGGGAGTGGGTGCAGAGGAGAGCGACGAGGATGATGGGGGGGGGGGTTGCCTGGAGACCAAGCCCTATGTGAGGAAAGGCCGAGGGACCTGGGAATGTTCAGTCTGGAGAAGAAGAGGTCGAGGGGGGACACGATTGTTCTCTCAAAGTATTTGAAGGGCTGTCACTTGGAGGAGGAGGGCAGGGGGCTGTTCCCATTTGTTATGGGAGAACCGGGTTTGATTCCCCACTCCTCCAGTTGCAGCTGCTGGATGACCTTGGACCTAGTTCTGTCAGAGCTGTCCTTGAAAAAGAGCAGTTTCTGTCAGAGCTCTCTCAGCCCCGCCTACCTCACAGGGTGTCTGTGGTGGGGAGGGGAAGGGAAAGGAGTTTGTAAGCCGCTCTGAGACTCCGAGTGAAGGGCGGGGTATAAATCCAGTCTCCTCCTCCTCCTCCTTCCATTGGCAGCAGAGGAGAGGACCAGTGTTCCCTCTAAGCCGAGTTAGTGTGAGTTAGCTCACAGGTTTTTTAGCCTGCAGCTCACACATTTTTGTATTAGCTCGGGAAGGATGGGGCTCCAGAGCAAACTAGTTTATGCAGGAGCCAAATTGCTCGCTCACAACTTTGATGCCAGCAGCTCACAAAATAGGATTTTTGCTCACAAGACTCCACGGCTTAGAGGGAACATTGGCAGAGGACTCGCAATCATGGGTTGAAATCGAGGGCGGGAAGGTATGAGTTGTGCCACAGTGGAATCAGCTGATTGGGGAGGTGGTGAGCTCCCCCTCCCTGGCAGTCTTCAAGCAGCAGCTGGACCAGCACTGGCCAGGGATGCTCTAGGCTGATCCTGCACTGAGCAGGGGGGTTGGACCAGATGGCCTCTTGTGGCCCCTTTCAACTCTCTGTGATTCTGTGATTCAGCACCAGGGGTCCCCAACATGGTGACCGTGGGCGCCAAGACACCCATTGCCACCTTGACTGGCAGCTGCCAAGTGTTTTTAGAAAGTGAGTGGGGCCAGGGTGGAGCTTTTAGCCAGCAGGGTTTCCGATCAGCCGCTCAAGATCTGGATGGCTTTGCAGATTTAAAAAAACACGTTGCTTTACTTTAAGGCAAGAGTTGTTCAGAGGTGGCTTGCCACTGGCTGTCTCTTTGTGGCGACCCTAGGCTTTCTTGGTAGTCTCTCATCCAAGTACTAACCAGGACCAGTGTTCCCTCTAAACTGAGTTAGTGTGAGCTAGCTCACAGTTTTTTAGCCTCCAGCTCACACATTTTTGTCTTAGCTCAGGAAGGAGGGCTCCAGAGCAAACTAATTCATGCAGGAGCCAAATCGCTCGCTCACAACTTCAATGCCGGTAGCTCACAAAGTGGAATTTTTGCTCACAAGACTCCACAGCTTAGAGGGAACATTGACCAGGACCGACCCTGAGTTTCGACAAGATCAAGCTAACCTGGGCCAGAGATTTAAATAGCTGTGACGTTCCGTGTCCTCCTGCCCCAAAGGATTTCGTTAACATTAGCCTTTTTTAAAAAACATGCTGTGACTCGCAGTGTTCCCTCTAAGCTGAGTTAGTGCGAGCTCGCTCACAGTTTTCTAGCCTCCGGCTCACACGTTTTTGTCTTGGCTCAGGAAGCAGGGCTCCAGAGCAAACTTGATTTATGCAGGAACCAAATCGCTCGCTCACAGCTTTAATGCCAGGAACTCACAAAGTCGAATTTTTGCTCGCTCCACAGCTTAGAGGGAGCATTGGCTGTGAGTTGTTTTTCCAAATGCCTTCTCCCTTATTCTGATCGCACGTCACAACTAGGTAGCATGGTGGCTTTAGATCTGTGTGACGTCATACATCCCAACTTCCATGGTCAGCCGTTCTTGAGAATATAATGCTCCTTGATCCCCCCCCCCCAGAGGTTAAGATGCTCAGGTGCAACTGGAAGGTCTGTAGTTCAGCAGTTCGAGACCCTAGTGACGGAGTGAGCTCCTGCCACCCTAGCAGTTCGAAAGCAAGAAGGTAACAGCATTCCGTGCGCCTCGGCATCTAGTCATGCCGGCCACATGACTACGTAGAAGTCTTCGGACATCGCTGGCTCTTCGGCTTGGAAACGGAGATGAGCACCGCCCCCTAGAGTCGGTGGGAAGGTAACAGCGTTCCGTGCGCCTCGTCATCTAGTCATACCGGCCACATGACCACGGAGAAGTCTTCGGACAGCACTGGCTCTTCAGCTTGGAAACGGAAATGAGCACCATCCCCCAGAGTCGGATTCGACTAGCTTTCGAGCAAGGGGTACCTGTACCTTTACTTTTACCTAGAAGAAGAATAGCGGTGACCTGTAAAGGTGGTTGAGGTAAGCAAAGGTTGTTTGCAGGCCTTAGAAACAGAGCAGGGTGTAAAACCGATGGCAGTTAGTTTGGAAATCAGATCTTTAAAAGCATCCCTGAAATATTATCCTTCTAATCTGTGTTCAGTGAGAAACTTAAGAAAAGAACCCCGGTGTCTTTAACCAGAGAAGACTGCAACACTGCCTGTGCAAAGGAGAAGGAAGCCTCTCTCTCCACCCACCGTATGTTAATTCTTCGGGCTGTCAATATATGTACTATTTTTCAAGCATTAGGTAGTATAAGTGGCGATGTTTTAAGAGTTTGGAAGGCAAATGGGAGCCTCGGTTTTTCAGAAGACGTAGGTGTAAAGCGTTAGAGCAGGTGTACCCAACATCAGGGGTCATTTCATAGAAAAAGAGGTGCAGGAGCTCATTAGCATGACTCATTAGCATAACTTATTTGCATGTGCCACACACCCCGACATCACCGGAAGTGTGTCAGAAGGCAACACCCACTGCTCAGGCTCCACTGGACTGTTTTGGGTTGCTAGCTATTGGGGGGGGGGAACGTGCAGATCTGCCCTCGCAGAGGAGGGAGAGCTTGTGCCTGAATAAAACTTGGTCTTAAAGGTGCCACTGGACTGTTTTGGACCAGGGGGCCAGGGGGGGGGCTCTGCAGCTTACCTGGCTGCTTCTTGCGCTGACTAAGGGCTGCTGGGAGCAGGGGGCGGGGCTTGTTGCATGTGCCCGCCCCCTGGGCTCTTTACTGCCGGAACTCCGCTCCTGTGTGCTCCTGCAGGAAATTACCCCTGGGTATAGAGTTCATGGGTTCTTAGTTGTTTAGGGTAAGAGCTTTGCAGTGTCTGGATTAAGAAGGCTTTTAGTTTCGTATCAGGAAAAACACACTTTTTGTTTGTGTATAAAGAATTCTTGGCTAATATTATTCAGGTTAGGGTTAGGTAAACACTTAAGATACTATGTAAGTACACCTGTTTTCAAAATTGACCAATGAGTAGATAATTAGTCAAATGACGCAGTGTCCTTTGTAACCAATTATGCTCTTTGAATTTTGTTTTTTTTTAAGATTATGTCTAAATTCTCATGTACTTCCTGATGGTGTCCAGAAAGCAGTCAGTTTTGATGGGCTAGTTTGGCCTGTTTTCAAGTGTCCTGTTGCAATAAAACACTAAGCATCTTCCTCCTCCTTTTGACTTCTTCTTTCTGACTGGAATTAAATTTCTACAACAGAGGGATGCTTGAGGCAGGGTTGTGGCCGTCCAAATTTTGCTCTTCCAACTGAATGGCCCTTCCATTTGCAGAGGAAGGGGAGAGCGATTTTTGCAAAGCCCCTCCTCTCCTCCCGCAGACCCAGTTTTCCCCATGCTGTGGGTCACAATTCGGGGTGGGGAAGAAGCCTTCAGTGGCACGGGAAGCGGCTGCCTTCTGCTAGTTTCCTCCGCTTGACCTGCTGAGGATCCAAGCGGATGGATCGGAGTAGTTCAGATCAGTGTTCCTCTAAGCTGAGTCAGTGTGAAACAGATCACAGTTTTTTAGCCTCCAACTCGCAGATTTTTGTCTCCGCTCAGAAAGGATGGGGCTCCAGAGCAAACCAGTTGATGCAGCAGCCAAGTCGCTCGCTCGCAACGTTAATGCCAGTAGCTCACAAAGTAGAATTTTTGCTCACGAGACTCCACGGCTTAGAGCGAACGTTGACTCAGATGTATTAATTTAAAAAGAAATCAAATAACGCCAGCCAGCCCTTTTTTGTCTTTAAGGGAGTAAATGCTGTGCTTCTTGCAAGACCAGGAAGACACCGCAGTGGAGAGATGCTGAAGATGGGACCCCCCTCTGCAATGCATGCGGCATTAGGTACTACGCTTTTCACTACCCGGTATCCCATGTGATTTTTGACCAAGGTTTGTCCCTAGATAATCTTGAAGTTAACCACCATCTGCTTAATCAGTGGATGCGGCGAATATCCACGGTTAATCTTGAAATTACCACCATTTGTTTAATCGGGGATACCATAGTTTATCCGTAGGTAATCTTGAAGTTACCACCATTTGTTTAACTAGGGGATGCTGTAGATCAGTGGCAGCGGACCTATGGCACGGGTGCCAGAGGTGGCACTCAGAGCCCTCTCTGTGGGCACGCGTGCCATCGCCCCAGCCAGGCCCAGACCATCATTAAAGTGTCGAATTCTCTGCCAAATAATGTTAAGTAAATGAAAGCATTTGGGATTGCTTTCCTTACTTTGTTTGGATCATCTTAAGTTAATGTATGAGTTGTTTTTTCTAAAGTAAAACCTCAGTATTCAGGTTAAATTGCCGTGTTGGCACTTTGCGATAAATAAGTGGGTTTTGGGTCGCAGTTTGGGCACTCGGTCTCTAAAAGGTTCGCCATCATTGCTGTAGATTATCTATAGGTAATGTCTGTTTAACCAGGGGATGCTGTAGATTATCTATAGGTAATGTCTGTTTAACCAGGGGATGCCATAGATTACCTATAGGTAATCTTGAAGTTACCTCCATCTTTTAACACAGGGGAAGCCGCAGTTTATCCATAGGTAATCTTAAAGTTACCACCATCTGTTTAACCAGAAATGCCATAGATCAGGGGTGTCAAACTTTTGGCCCAGGGGCCAGATCAGGCCCCCGGAAGGCTTCTATGTGGCCCACAGTGGAACAGGCTGTCTTCTGCTTCTTCTTCCAGTTCTGCTGCTGCTGCATCATTGTAGGTTTGCATCTTACAGGTACACACCTGAACGGCATACTCAGGACTGCAACAGCACAGACATTTTGATGCAATAATTCAGAGCAAGAGGTGTCAGTTATCAGACCCTGTTAAATAAACAAAATATTGCAAGAGTGGTAATGTTTTAAGCATGTTTTTATTTTGAGTTTAAAAAAAAACACCTTTGTGTTTGTGTCCTTTATAAAGTTTATATATTTCTGCTACCTGGCATTACATTTTATGACACACACGGCCCAGCCCGACAAGGTCTCATTTATGTCAAATCCGGCCCTCATAACAAATGAGTTCGACACCCCTGCCATAGATTATCCATAGCTGATGTCTGTGTAATGTGTAGATGAAGCCAGAGTCCTTAATATGACACAATGGATGCTTCTTCTTTCTTCTCTGTTGGGTACCTGGGATTTCCCACTGGCCATTTTTTTTCACCTTAAACCGTAAGGTGCTTAGAGCTAGGGTCCTCAACATGGTGCCCGCCAATACCTGTTCCGGTGCCCGCCAAATGTTTTTAGAAAAGGGGGTGGGGCTTTTGCCCAGCGAGGCTTTCGATTGGCCATTGTAGATTTTACTCACTATGCAGTGTTTTAAAAACATTGCTTTGGCAGCAGCTGCCACCACAGCACAAGAACCTTCACTGAGTGACGGAAGGGGAGCCCTGGCGACCATTTTGTGGCTGGTTCCACCTCCTGAGGAGGGATGCCCCTTCTGGGTTGGGGAAGGCCTGGAGATTTGGGGGGTGAGGCTTGTGGAGGGCGGGGCTTGGGGATGGGAGAGACCTCAGCGGGTTTAAAAAGCTATAGAGCCCACTCTCCAAAGCAGTCATTTTTCTTCAGGAAACTGACCTTGGTCGTCCAGAGATTAATAGCAGGAGATTCCCAGGTATCACCTGGGGGTTAACAGTCCAAAGAAGAAGAAGAAGAAGAAGGATTGGATTTATACCCCGCCCTTCACTTGGAGTCTCAGAGCTCCGTTCCTGTGCGTTCCTGCCCAAAAATAGCCCTGACGACAACAAATGAGACAATATTAAAGCCATAACGTCATTTAGTGTCTGGTAATAAAGACGAACAACATATTCCATCATGGGAAAAAGCTACAAAGGTCGACAGAAATCCACATAGCAGTCTGCTCAAGTCTCTCTCAATCTGTATCCCTCGAACAGTCTTGTGTCCTTATTCAAATTCACAAAAGCCGTCTGCTCAAAGTTCAATCAGTCTGTGTTTCTCTTTCAGTCAACAGTTTTACCGGATATCTGAGTGTTTCAGACCTCTGGTCTTTCCTCAGGAACAAATCTAGAAACAAAGGATTCCAGTGATATTCCAGTGATATTTCATTATATCATACTGGCTTATCAGTCTCTATAAAACAAAGTGAATGCAGAAATAAGTAAATCCTTGTACCCAATATAGGAATCTCACATTTAATCTGGATTTGACCCACAGGCTCAAAACGTCTGGGGTCCCCTGGGTTAGAGTACAGATGAAGAAACTCTACAAGGATAACGACAAATTATATTCTCAGTATTGTGTGCCTGTGTCCCCCCCCACTCACCCCCCCACCACTTTTTCAGATACAAAAAATACAGGATCCGGTGTTTTCAGTGCTGGAATATTCCGAAGCACGGAGGGAAGCCCTGCTCTCATTGTTCCAGTTGTGGCGACAAATTCCACATGTCAGCTGCCCAGCAGAAGTCTGAAAAAGGTACCAGGCGTTGGGGGCAGAAGAGGGGGAAACGTCGGTGCCGCAGCTTCAGAACGGTTTTTCGCGCGGAACGAAACACGTCTGCTCAGATACACTTGGTTTAGATGAGCCGCACCGTAGAAGTGGTCAGGACAGTAGCTGTGTTGACCAGTATAACTGTCATGGCTACTCAAAAGGAATCCTGGGAATTGTAGTTTGGTGCTGAGGACTCTCTGAGAGAGACCCTTGTTGGAAGTTCCAGGTGCAGTGTCCCCTGCCTCCGCCTCCAGACTGTGGCAAGAGAGACTAGATAGCTAGATAGGCACACTGGCCTTTCCTTCCTGAGTTTAATTCGGTATGTAGATTGTGTTCTCAGGGACAATTTCCTTCCTTCCGTTCTCTCAGTTGAAGAGAGACTCTCTTCCTGCTCACACCAAGAGAGACAACATGTAGTCCTCTCTTGGCACCAGTGTTCCCTCTAAGCTGAGTTAGCATGAGCTAGCTCACAGCTTTTTAGCCTCCGGCTCACACATTTTTATCTTAGCTCAGGGAGGATGGCTCCAGAGCAAACGGATTTACGCAGCAGCCAAATTGCTTGCTCACAACTTTAATGCCAGGAGCTCACAAAGTGGGATTTTTGCTCACTAGACTGCAGAGCTTAGAGGGAGCGTTGTATGGCACCATGAGGCAGATGGGCCTCTTGCCATCTCCTTCCATCCTTCAGCGAGTAAGTTAGTACTCTGTCCCGTCTCTACTCTTTCCTAGCCAAAGTGTACTTCTCTAATAAAGAGAGAGGTATTTCTCCTCTAAACTTGTAGCGTGCCTCTGTGTAGTTTTGTAAGCTGAGTATCCTGGTAAAGTAACGCTGCTGCGTTTGTCGCTTTATTTAAGCACTCTGCTAAGTAGTGGGAACTGGACTAACCACACCAGTTAATCCCCCCTTCCCCCAGGTATGGGCCCAGCACGATAGTTTCCAGGGGTTTTTTTTTGTTGCGGAGGAGTAAATATTAAACGAGTTAAAGCAAGTCGGGATATGATTCAAACAACATCAGTTTCTCCCCACCACCTGTGCCTTTGGCCAGCATTAAAACCAGGTGGTGTTGCCTATCTAAGGCGGTCCTTTTTCTTTTGTAGATGTGGAAGCTTTCTAAAGCTTTCCAGATAGATTGGATGCCAAACGAGCTCTTGGGAAATCTGACTGACATGAGTGAAGGGTCTGGATGAACAGCAAGTCGAGCGTTGGATATGCCAACTGAGAGGTTGTAGGGATATGAATTTTTGCTTAGTTGTATTTGTTCGTTTCTTGCTCTACTGTTTCCTGAGTTTTTTGCATGTATCGTGTGCAAGTGTCAAAGGAAGTGGATGTTGTTTTCGGGGAAAGAGGCGTTTCTTACGTTTCTGCCTTCCAGCAATAACTGAAAGTGTTCATAAGAGGGCAAAAGCTCAATCTTCTCTGGAAGGCCAACCGAAGGTCTGTGAAGAAATCATTTTGAAGCAATTACCATTCATCTGTTAAAGTTCTTTGAGTTCTAGGTTTAAAGTCTCTCTATCTCTCTCTCTGTCTCAACCCCAAACCCCACCCATAATTCACATTGCTGCAGTATGGGTAACAGTGCCTTTCTCTAAAGAGACATAGCAAAGTCGAAAAACAGCATTCTCCCACATTGTAGGCTTTGCGGGACAGTGATAATTCCACCGACACGGGGAGGGGATTGTCCAACAGAAATAGCGTGCAACATACCCCTTCCAACACAGGAGGACTTTCAACAGCTCAGGATTTTTTTAAAAAGCAATAATTGCCTCTTAATGAAGCACTTTGCTTACGTGTTGGTATCGTCTGTCTTTTGCACCAGATTCACCAAGATGAAGCATGTAAGATTTGAGCTGCAAAATATTTTTATATACACTTGTCGGAGGGTTTGTTGGGGGACAGACAACCGACGTGCAGGAAGTTTTCGACTTCTGAACGGATGCTGGGTGCCCTTCTTTGTTTGCGTGTGGCTGTCCGCTTATGATTGTTGCAGGCAAGACTGTGTGTATTTCCTTTTGGCTGTGTTTATTTTTGTATATAGTATTTATTTTTGCAAAATGTGACAGTTTTTGCAGTAGCAAAACAAACAAAAAAGCCAAGGTGTGCCACTTAAAGGCTATAACCTGACTTGTTCATTTCAGTGAATGTGCTAAATCAGTATTTTGTTTAATAACAAGCTTCTTGATGAATCTTAACTGCCTCTGTATCTCTGAAAAACTCTCGATGTTTCTGCAATAAATATTCTGAATTGTCGCTGCATACGGACGGACTAGTTAATCCATAATTTCTTTAAATGTGGAGCAGGGCTTGGAGGAGAAAGAGTATGCTACAGCCAGGGCTATTTTTGGGCAGGAACGCACAGGAACGGAGTTCCAGCTGGCTCCCGAGTTGGCCACGCCCAGCAGGAACTCATTAGCATAATAGGCCACACCCAACAGCAGGAACTCATTAGGATTGGCTACATTAGGGTGTGTGGCCTAACATGCAAAGGAGTTCCTGCTACAAGAAAAGGCCCTGGGTTTTGACAACAAACAGGGTAAACAGAATAAGAAGCAAAAGGTGGGTGTGGCTGGATGAGCACACTTCTGGTAATATGTGGGTGCGGCCTAATATGCTAATGAGCTGTGTTGTCAGGGGTGTGGCTTAATATGCTTATGAGTTTCTGCTGTTGGGTGAGGTCTATTATGCTAATGAGTTCCTGCTGGACTTTTTCTACAAAAAGAGCCCAGGCTACAGCCATGCTTGGAACTGATGCCATGCTGCCCATGTGAGTCCTGAATACCTGTGAGTTTGCAGCAGAAGGCACAGAAGTTTCCATACTTAATTGTCAGGCATATACAGAAATTCTTGAACGCTGAGACTTTTATTTCACAGAGCTAGCGCTCTCTAGTGGCAGCGTCTGGCAGTGCACAAGATGCTGTTTTTTCTGGATCTGAGTTATTGTTGCCAACTCTGGGTTGGGAAATTCCAGGAGATTTGAGGGTGAAACCTGGGGAGAGGAAGGATCTCAACAGGGTTTAATGACATAGACTCCACCCTCCAAAGCAGCCATTTTCTCCATGAAATATGAAATCCCCATCTCTCTGTAGTCTGGAGATGAATTATAATTCTGGGAGATCTCTTCAGAGCCAGTTTGGTGTGGTGGTGAGGAGCACAGACTCTAATATGGGAGAACCGGGTTTGATTCCCCACTCCTCCACATGCAGCTGCTTGGGGTGACCTTGGGTCAGTTACAAGTTCTCTCAGAGCTGTTCTCTCACGAGCAGTTCTCAAGAGAGCTCTCTCAGCCCCACCTACAGCCCCACAGCCAGTTCGTTGTAGTGGTTAAAAGCGGCAGACTCTAATCTGGGAGAACTGGGTTTGATTCCATACTCCTCCACATGCAGCTGCTGGTGTGACCTTGGGTCAGTCACAAGTTCTCTCGGAGCTGTTCTCTCACGAGCAGTTCTCAAAAGAGCTCTCTTAGCCCCACCTACCTCACAAGGGTGTCTGTTGTGGGGAGGGGAAGGGAAAGGAGATTGTAAGCCGCTCTGAGACTCCTTCGGGTAGTGAAGGGCGGGGTATAAATCTTCTCCTCTCTTCTTCAGTGGGGAACTATATGGAGCAAGCAAGGACACACATACACTTTTTTCCAGATGCGCATGACATCTGTCAATAGCTAATGTGGTGAACAGATAAAAGGAAGGACTTCTTCACCCAAAGAGTAATTAATGTAAGCCAGTTTGGTGGGTGTGTTAAGTGTGCGGACTCTAATCTGGGAGAACCAGGTTTGATTCCCCACTCCTCCACTTGCACCTGCTGATGTGACCTTGGGTCAGTCACAAGCTCTGGCACAGCTGTCCTTGAAAAAGAGCAGTTTCTGTCAGAGCTCTCTCAGCCCCACTCACCTCACAGGGTGTCTGTTGTGGGGAGGGGAAGGGAAAGGAGTTTGTAAGCCGCTCTGAGACTCCAAGTGAAGGGCGGTGTATAAATCCAAACTCTTCTTCTTCTCTTCTTCTAATACGTGGAATTCACGGCCACAGGAAATGGTGGTGGCTACAAGCATAGACAGCTTCAAGAGGGGATTGAATGAACATATGGAGCAGAAGTCCATCAGTGGCTCTTAGCAACAAGATATAGATGGAACTCTCAGTCTGGGGCAAGTGATGCTCTGTGGGGGGGGGGACCACAGTGGTAGGGCTTCTGGAGTTCTGGCCCTGCTGGTGGGCCTCCTGATGGCCCCTGGGTTTTGGCCCCGTTGTGACGTAGAATCTGTGAGATTCTATGATCGTAGAATCATAGAGATGGAAGGGGACCCCCCATGGTCATAAGAACATAAGAGAAGCCATGTTGGATCAGGCCAGTGGCCCATCTAGTCCCACACTCTGTAGCACACAGTAGGCAAAACCCAGGGGCCATCAGGAGGTTTTGCCCACGAATTCTTGTATTGCGAGAAAGGGAGAAAAGTACTCCTTTCTCTACCTGTTCTATCCCATGCATAATCTTATAAACCTCAATTGTGTCACCCTCTCAACCGTCGTTTCTCCAAGCTAGTCATCTAGTCCAACCCCCGGCGTAATGCAGGAAATTCACAAATACCTCCCCCTCCACACCTCCAGTGACTGCTGTTCCTCACCCAGAAGATGGCAAAAAACCTCCAGGATCCCTGGCCAAACTGGCCTGGAGAGAAATTGCTTCCTGATCCCCAAAGGGCTCTTTAATGGCATTGGGAGCAATGTTCCCTCTAAGCTGTGGAGTCTTGTGAGCAAAAATTATGCTTTGTGAGCTACTGGCATTAAAGTTGTGAGGGAGTGATTTGGCTACTGCATAAATTAGTTTGCTCTGGAGCCCTCCTTCCTGAGTGAAGACAGAAATGTGTGAGCCGGAGGCTAAAAAACTGTGAGCTAGCTCCCACTAACTCAGCTTAGAGGGAACACTGGTTGGGAGTCCTTAGTTTAAATAGCAAATGGCAGATGGCTGCTTCATGTGTCTAGGAGTACATCTGGAACGGGGCAACCTCGGGAACCACGTGCACATGGTCTCAGGCTCTTGCATCACAATCTGGTCACCTTGCATCAGAGTCCCCTTTGAACACTTTACACACAGTTCATTTATGTCCATAAGAGAGCACAAAGCTCCTTGCTGGGCAACAGTGGCTAAGTTTCTGGCTGCGGTGGCTCAAGTGGTTAAGACGCTGAGCCGCAGACCGGAAGGTCAGTAGTTCAGCAATTCAAGACCTGAGTGCCACAGGACGGAGTGAACGCCCGTCTCTGGCCCCAGCTCCTCCCAACCTAGCAGTTTGAAAGCAAGAACTGGCAAGTAGATAAATAGGTGCCGCTTCAGTGGGGAAGGTGACAGCGTCCCGTGCGCCTCAGCATTTAGTCATGCCGGCCACATGACCATGGAAGCTGGCTCTTCAGCTGGGAAACGGAGATGAGCACCGCAACCCTAGAGTCGGATTCGACTGGCTTTCGAGCAAGGGAAACCTTTATCTTTACTTTTACCCAGTTCTATAAGGCTGCGATTTCTTCTTCCACCACAAGGCGCCCGAAAGGCAAAGCAATTGAATTCGTTCTGGCTATTTAAAATGGAAGAAACCCTTTCATTAGATAACGCTGAGGAAATTCTTTCCATCCGTGTGGCACATGGTTCCCTGAAGGACTCGCAGAGGGAAATGATGAATAGGCGTCATTACAAAATCCATTCGCTGGTTAAAATTACAGCTGTAAGGGTAGTGTGCATACACCAGTTTTTGCTCTACAAACAATTAGAAAATTCTCTTTGTAGGTAAGGAAGCCATGTCCTTGCTTTGTGCCTTTTTTTTTAAGATAGCAAAATGATTATTTATACAGATACATCTCTTACAGGGTTTCATAGCCAGAAATCAGTAGTTCCCTGCCCCCGAGGTTCAATAAATCATCATATTGGAACATTTGGAACGGGCCCAGTTTCTGTTAGAAAGGGGCTTTTGTTAATTTACACACACATACCCATTAACAATCCCTTGTCATTTAAAAAATGAGACTTCAATTCTGTACAAATCATATGAACCCGAGTCCACGGGCTGCAGGTATAATGAAAAAGAGGCTATAATTTTTTTTTAATTCCCTGACCCAGAGGGTCCAGTGAGCCCAATCTTGT